GGAATCATACACACAACCTTTCTAATGCAAGGCAAACACACAACCACGTCAAACAACCCGGTTATTAATTCTTTCACATTTGTTCATGATGTCTATTGTGCACCACAATAACTACCACACACATTCAACCAAGTGCGATACAGGCATTCAATGCAACTGCTAAACATTCATATTATAAACCCATGTGTCATCAAGGTATAGTCACATAATTATATTCTTGAATTATTTAATTTAAAATACCACAGTCGTCAAAGTTTGGGAAGGAAAGACATATCCACAGGTTGTACACCTCACATGGAACTTGCACCAAATGTGATGAACATCCAATGTGGTGACAATCGAGGCACTTTATTTAACTACACATGTACCTTCTCTGCTGCCATTGTTCGAAGAATTCCATCTTCTTTCCTGCGAACATGAAGAACAATTCTTGTTAATTGTCATAGAATAACATTTTTATAAATTATAATAGATCCAGTCCAACTTGATTTGTTTACCAGTAAAAACCATTGTATAAGATAAAAAGTAGAGTCCAAGCATAACTTATCATATTGCGATCTTGGATTTGTAATCCATTTCTTGTTTGTGTTATATTGTATTACATACTGTAAAGGGGGTAAATATTCACTGGGTTTTAATTTAGCTTATTTCGCTGACTGGAAAAATGCGCTAAATTAAAACACAGTGAATATGTAAAATTTAGCATAGAACACATTATCTAAATGATAAAACCGTGAATTTAAAACCCACTGAATATGCCTGAAATGGTAAATCAGTGAAATTTAAACCCAGTGAAAATTAGTCATTTTACAGTATTTTTATTGTCTTATTTAGAAGCTTTTTCTATTATGTTCTATTCTATTCTATTCTATTCTATCCTATCCTATTTCTTTTCTAGAATTAACTAATAAGTCATTCTTCTTACCCTCTTTTCACACGACAGAAATCGAATGCCACCGTTCTATAAGCCACAGATTTCTCATTAAGATATTTTGCATAACGCCTCACATAAGTTGACATATCATAGCCTGTGATAAGATAAGCAAACACACATAGTTGGTTGTTATTAAACAAATCAACAAACGTACAAGTGAGGCAATGCTGAAATTCTGTCATCCACACAAGTCAACTTGTTCTACCACCACAAAAGTATCGGTAACTTGAGCTGTGAACAGAAAAGCTGGGATTTACATTATAAGTATGTATTAGAGATTGGTTACATATTTTAATCTGGATTATCTTGGTATTAAAGCAAGTTGCAAAGTTAAAAACAGTCAGCAGAAAGACACTGCATGAAATATATACAGTTGTCAATAAATGGAGATAAACGATAAATTGTTACATATTTTAATCTGGATTATCTTGGTATTAAAGCAAGTTGCAAAGTTAAAAACAGTCAGCAGAAAGACACTGCATGAAATATATACAGTTGTCAATAAATGGAGATAAACGATAAATTGTTACATATTTTAATCTGGATTATCTTGGTATTAAAGCAAGTTGCAAAGTTAAAAACAGTCAGCAGAAAGACACTGCATGAAATATATACAGTTGTCAATAAATGGAGATAAACGATAAATATCATGGGGACTCTGTTCTCTCCAAACCTGCCCAGTTTATAACCAAATTTAGCTGAACTTCACGCAGTATGGAAGGAATTAATATTAGTGAATTAAAGCAATCTACATTTTTATTCCAAGTGCAATATAATCAAAAGGTTATTTTCTGTTCAACTGCGAGATCTCACGAATTGCGTGAAAGACGCGTGCCAAACGTCTGCCACAAAAATCGAACGATTTGATTTTGAACACGAATTTCTTTATTTCGTAACTCACATCAAAAGGCTTATCTTTGACAGGGGAATATTGCGTTTGAATACCCTTACTTCATTGAAATTGACCACCATCAAATGTGTAGCACATTATTAAACATAGAAATTTCCCCCAAAATACTTTCACGTTTGTCGAATCCCACACAATGTTTGACACCACTACGACGCTATGACCTTTGTTTGTGCTGTTTTTACGTTCCATTTCACGCATAACGTGGTGATCTCACAATGAACGGAAAATTCAATAACGAAATCATTACCTTGAGGTGCAGTTCTGTCAACAAAATTGGACAAGTTGAATAAATTGTTTCTTGATGCCAAGTACTGAGAATATCGCTGTAACGAAAGAAACGAACATTAACAAAATCTTAATATTTAATAAGACATAATTTCAAGCATATAATTTTATAACTAGTGTGAACACTTGGTATATTTAAATAATTACTTCATTACCGTAAACACAGAGATAATGTGATGTGACTGAACACTAGTGTAAACACTTGGTATATTCAAATACTTCATTACCGTAAACACAGAGACGATGTGATGTAACTAAACACTAGTGTGAACACTTGGTATATTTAAATAATTACTTCATTACTGTAAACACAGAGATAATGTGATGTGACTAAACACTAGTGTGAACACTTGGTATATTTAAATACTTACTTCACTACCGTAAACATAGAGATGTAAGTAACTAAACACTAGTATGAACAATTGGTATATGTAAATACTTCATTACCATAAACACAGAGATGATGTGATGTAACTAAACACTAGTGTAAACACTTGGTATATTTAAATACTTACTTCATTATCATAAACACAGATAATGCGGTGTAACTAAACACTAGTGTGAACACTTGGTATATTTAAATACTTACTTCATTACCGTAAACACAGAGATGATGTGATGTAACTAAACACTAGTGTAAACACTTGGTATATTTAAATACTTACTTCATTATCATAAACACAGATAATGCGATGTGACTAAACACTAGTGTGAACACTTGGTATATTTAAATACTTACTTCATTACTGTAAACACAGAGATAATGTGATGTAACTAAACACTAATGTGAACACTTGGTATATTTAAATACTTACTTCATTACCGTAAACACAGATAATGTGATGTAACTAAACACTAGTGTGAACACTTGGTATATTTAAATACTTACTTCATTATCATAAACACAGAGATAATGTGATGTAACTAAACACTAGTGTGAACACTTGGTATATTTAAATACTTACTTCATTACCGTAAACACAGAGATAATGTGATGTAACTAAACACTAATGTGAACACTTGGTATATTTAAATACTTACTTCATTACCGTAAACACAGAGATGATGTGATGTTACTAAAGCTTTAAACACAATAACCCAACTTGTATTGTTACTTCTATCAATGAGTAATTCTCCCAACTGTGGAATGTTCACATTCGGTTCATGCGTACACTGAAGTAAATCTACAACAAAGCAAAATAAAGCGGACACAAGTCAGAAATCTACGAATGCACATCTGGGTTTGAGAAATATAACATACACATCTGGGTTTGAGAAATATAACGTACATCATCTCATTCCTACAAATTGGGATTACTCATATACATGTATCTTGCCCATCATGTGGAAATTTCAGGAAATCTTATTTTTTGCTTCATCGATAGATCGTAACAGAATGATCATTATAAAAACTGCAATTTCACACCAAGGACAATGCTATCATGTTGTATTCAAGACTATACTACCGCATGTACGGTACTACCCATCCTAATAACAATACATGGTACATATTTAGCACAATCTCAATCTGACTGTTAAGTGCTATGCTCCAGTGGTTAATCCACTGTTCAGTCTGTGAAATCAGAAGTAAGTTTCTTAATAGTAAACTTTATGTGTTTTATCATTTGAAAATACTGTAAAATACTTTATTTTCGCTTGGAATTAATTTTCGATATATTCGCTGAAGGGATGATTGAGTGAAAATAAAATCCAGCAAATATATTATCGTTTCCTATATTTTATATTCAACTTGTCAAAAATCAGTGAAAATAAATTTCATACAAATATTCCCTGATCAATGAAAAAATCACTTGGAAAAAACACACTTTATAGTGATGAATTTACAATAAAACACAGTTTTACATTTGAACAACATAGCTCACACCCACTTATGTAATTTTAACATCACAGCATATTGTCAATAGAGGGAGATATTTATAGTATAGGTGTATTAAAACATTCTTGGCATGAAGAACTTTCAAAATCAATCAATCAATCAATGTTGGGTTAAACGAACTGAATTCATCTTCTTTGATTACAATCCATGAGCATGTGATTTATTTGGAAAAACGTGTGCATACGCATTTTTACATGAACTAGTTTAGTGTTCCAATTACGAGAAAAATATTAAAATGAGACTAAACAGGAATGCTTTATTTTCTTTTGGTACAAAATTTTATTGTTTTTTTTACTTTTTCTGCTGATTATAATAAACACGCATTTACTAGCTGAGCAATCAAAGTGAAATAAACATTTATTTCTCAGGAACATGATGTCAGTGACAATTGTGAGTAGAAAATTCTCCTGGTGTGTAAAATATTAGTAAAACTGTTTCATTCCACTGTGATCACAACAATACATCAATTGTAGACAGTCATATAGCACATTTAACGTACTACCTGTCAACAGCAGGTGCTGATAACCAATCACGATATCCGATATCCTTAAATTGAATATCCTATTTTACAATTTAAAAACATTTCTATACAGTCTCTGAACCAACATAAAACTTGTCTAGACTAAATCCTGTGTAAACCAAAAAGCTGCCTAAATCGGTTGTATCTTTCAGTCCTTTCTTAGTATTATAATAGCTTTTGTAAGTCACCTCAACATTATTTACAAGTGAATTTTTATAGAGAAGCCTACAACAGCGAGTCGGAGTGACTTTTGTGCAATTTTGACCTTGCATGCTCGCATACATTTATTATCAAATCACAGAAAAAATGATTACTCAGATTACTCCATGATGTAATATACATTTCTGATTTTACCGCTTCTTTCCTCATTAATCAATATTTTAGTTACTTTTATTGGCTGGCAGACCAACATAATGTTACTATTACAAAATAAGCCTTCAATCAAATTGCTTGTACCATCTTCTTTCACACCATAATTTTAGAAACCTTTGTAAGATGTTCTGTGATTGGTCAATAATTTGAAGTGATCAAACTAAACAATTTTTATTTGAGTTGGTTAGATCTTTGGGTTTCATAAAGAAAAAAATATTAGTGCAATTAAATGATGCGGTAGTAACTTAAAATAACAACAACAATGTAATGTAATTTTACAGGAACAGAAAGTAGGTTGCTATGACAATAAGATTAAGAAGCTCCATACACGCATTTACTGGTAACTAGATACATGTAGGAGTGATACATGTACTTTGCTCTAAATTTGAAAAGACCTGCAATTTCTATGGCAATAAGTCTGTGTGCACTTTGTCTTGTTTTACATGGAATTCTAAATCTTAAAAGCCTATTTACGACATATTTGATCGGAAAAATGAAATACGCATATGCATCAATTTAACTGACAATGACATGTCATGAAAGAGATTGGAACAATTTTAAGACATCAACAACATCTGGGCAAGTGAATGCTTCTAGAATAATTGTTCTAATGATGTTTTGACAAAATCAATGATTATACATCATTTCAGTTTCGTTATTACGTGTTCATGTCATTATGATATCGGAATAGAAAACAACATTCTTTTCAGACACAAAACTCTGAAATTTACATTTGTCCTTGTTTTCACAATGAAAGTATTTCTTCATAATTGATCTCGATTTAACAATTGAAAATCCATACATGTACGTTATTACTGCTATGATTATTGTTAACAAATTACCCTTCAGCGAGTTTCCAGTGTACATTTTGTACCGGTGATATTTTATATCCACTGAGATACCCTCATCCATAATGCATTGGACATATGCTCAGTAGAGCAAAACTTGAATTCAGCTCAAACCCTCAAATAAACAGCTATAAAACTACTGCCCATACTTTGAATCAACTCCAGCGTGTCCAGACTTTCCCTAAAACGAGGTTGTCAGAAGAAATGGCTGGGTGAATAATCTACACCAATATTAGAAAGAGGTAATTTCCAAGACATTAGTTGTTATATATTGCACTGCAGATTAGTTTGCAAAAAAGCACAATACTAGAACAAGCACATGTTTGTAAATCATTCCAATTAGTTGTTTTATTTTTTATACAATTTCCTGCATTGGAATGGTATCCTCATGGATGCGAGACCTGGGAATGCAATGCATTTTGAGCATGGGTGTAAAATACGAGTATGTAATTTTGTATACATTTTTGTACGAGTTCACCTGTACACCAGACATGCAGATTTTAGCTGGGAGATTGCTTCAATTTAATGTCTGAATTTGTGTAAATCAGTGACTTAATCAGTACATCACTTCAGAGACAAGCCTCTCAAATGAGAAGGATAGAAAATGAAATTTTGATTGGACACGGTTTGGTTGCTGCAAGTCATACAATATACACTGTGGATTATGCAGGGGCTGGTGATCAAAGACACTAACTAGTCTTGGTCAGTCTTAGGTTTTTCATTGCCATGCACATATTAGTGTCAATTTTGTGTAAGAAAGCTTGCTTTTGCAAAACCACACATTTGTTTAGCCTAGCATCTTAAGCCTTGGTAGTGATGAAAATGAAATGCAAAGTCCAGATAAATTTCACATTGTCACGTTAATAAAGGCAAATAAAATGTATCCTCTGTTTCCTGCCCTATCTACTCAATGTTATAATTATTTATTTCATTGCCCTTCCTTCTAAATGTACAAAGTTGTATAAAAGACGTTTATCATGAAAACTAACGTTAATAGATTCTATATATCCATATTTCATTTCTGTAATTAAACCATGTTCTAGCAATGACATAAGAGTACACTCATAAAAATAAAATAAAAAATTAATATAAAATATTCTACCCTACTTGATGTACCCAGTATCCTTTTTGTGGTGCATATCAGAAATATTAAATTTATTTGGCTTATATTATTTTAAAGAATAATTATTAATGTAAACAAATGTGGTAAATCACCAAACTTTATTCTCAAACTAAATTAAATGTGGCAACTAAGTATCATGCTACTATCAGAACGTCATATTCAGCAGCTGTGAGGAAATCAATAACAAACAACCACACCATTAACCTGTTCATCAATAGACGAGCACATTGAGATTGACAGTCCATGCCCCCAACATGTAATGTAATCTCAAAGTGAGATGCACTCTAATTTTATCTCGTGTTTTCATGCTGTATGTTATCAAAATATATAAACTGTAGTGTGGCGTTTTTTGTAGTTTTCAATAGGCGAGGGAGGGTAGGACACAGGGGATGAAATTTTTGTCAATCGTTTCAAATTTTCTACCCACGGCTATGAAAAAGCATACCAAAAAAAACCCAGAGAAATCAAGTTTAATGCAAAAATCAGGACTTTACATCCCAATTGGAATATCAAGGTTATCAAAACCCTGAGTGCAGGGATACTTTTTGCATTCAATTTTCTTGCAGTGGCACTCTCCTCGCTTGGCGAGGCATTTTGTGCAGTCAATTTCCCTGCACAGCACACTCCTCCCATGGCAAAAACCAAGTGCATGAAATATCTTTTAAATCAAATTTAGCGATTCATATAATTATCAATATTGTTAGTATCGTAAAATCTGTATTAGAAGCCGCATCGCTAATAGAAGTCGCACCCATTCTTTTTGAATAATTGAGAACCAAAAATTCACCATCTCTCATATGTGTAGATGCTCTAATTGAAGCCGCATCCCCTCTGTTGTAATGCACCATTTTAATAGAAGCCGCAGCTTCTAATAACATTTTACAGTAATAATCCTTAAATATACAATGTACACTTGTCACGCTTGAGGAATAAATGCTATTAGGTTTTCAATTCAATTCCCACCTTGTCATATAATACAGTATGTCAATCTGAAATAGACACTGCATACTAATTGATACAATACTGATACCGGTATATACAATATTAATTGTATGTAAAATACTAAAAATAGCGATATCAATACCACTAATGTAATAATAATAATTGTATACACAAGGGTTCATGATTTTCATTTTAATGTGATTGATAAGTGTATACCGGTCTGCAGGTCAGGGACCAATCAGTTAACAAAGTTAATTATTTATTGGTGAACTATGCCCCAGAATCTTTACGTTTTTTTTTTATGACATCAGCAATCAAATACAATATTAGGCAGTAAAATTTTATATCATCTCTCTCAAAATAAATAAACATTGATTGTAAGAATGTGAAAATTGGTTCACTGTACAGTAATGTTTCTAATTGTGAGTACAATTGCCAACATGACATTAAAAAGCTAAGAGAGGGAAATATATACTACCAGT